CCACTCTTCATGGTTGTAGAGGAGTCTGGGAAATCTCAGTAAACATCCCCAAGAGAGGCCACCACAGGAAGCAAACCCAGCTCTTGGGGTGCTTTGGCCCTAATGTTCACCCCCTTGCCATTGCTGGCTGCTGGTGGGTGGCTGTGCCTTTCTCACAGGGGCAGCTAACCCAGGAAGGCCACCAGAGAGATGATCTGTGAGTAGTTTTCTGCTTTGCATCCTGGTCAAGGACCCCTGCTCCCTCCGGAAATGGTCATGACCCTCTGCCCTGTTCCCGAGAAACAGCTCCTCCCAGGAGACCTTCCATGGAAGGAGAATTGTGGGAAAGCTCATGCAGGCATTTCAGGGACATGTTTTCAAGTGTCATTAGCTGAGAGGAATCATGTCTGTTCCTCTGAAGTGCTGGCTGTCACATAACTCACTAATCAGATATTGGCTTTGGCTGTGGAGGGAGGGCCTAGCCTGGCAGCCAAGGGACCTGGTTCTGTTTTGAAAGTGGCATTGCCATTGTGTGCTAAACAGGCCCCTCAAAGGCCTGAGTGGGTGGAAATGGAAGGAGAGGCAAATGGAAAAAGTCCACACTCAGCCAGAGTCAGAATGACTGCTTATCAGAAACTCACTTCCCCTGGTCGTCATCTGGATCTGTGGCCCCAGAACAGGGCCAAGAGGTGGGGGCATGAACCAGGGTTCATACCCAAGGCAACTTCTTATGTTCCTTGAGGATGGAGAAGCATGGCGTCAGAGCGTCTGGGTTCCTTTGTGTGTCCTTTTACTGGTCCGAAGGTGTCCCTGGTCATGGTCACTATCCCTACAGCTTTATGGAGGCTGAGCCACTTCAGGCTCCTCGCTTGAGCTGTCCCAAGGGCAAGCATCCTGCATGGAGAATCCTACACAGGACTCTCCCGGATTCCTTAGGGGGAGAAGGAGGCAGACAGATCTTGTGGAAAGAAGTGGGCTATTGAAAGAAACTTTTTCTTTCATAAAAGTTAGAAGCCTGACAGTGTAGCTCAAGCATTCAGTAGTCTCGCCTACCATGTACAAGACACTAGGTTTGATGCCCAGCACTTGTGAATATGAATATGTATGTGCTTAATGGTAAGGAACTTACATAGATCTTAAAGGGTATCACAGAGACTGGAGAGATAGCCCAGTGGTGGTTAAAGAGCACTACTGCTCTTCCAGAGGACCCAGGTTTGGTTCCCAGAACCCATATGGTGACTCAACCACCTGTAATTCCAGTTCCAGGGAATCCTGTACCCTCTTCTGGCCTCTGTGGGCACCAAGCATGCTCATGGTACACAGATTTCCATGGCAGGCAAAACCCTTACACATAGAATGAAAAGAACTATATCTAAAAGGAAGAATATCTCAAAGTGGCCACATTTACTACTGACAGGATAAATAGAATGGAAGAGAGCCAGTCTAGAGGCAGAGCTTTGAGAACTTAGTCTTTATTCTCTGTAATAGGCAAAGCAGAACATACAGTGTGTAGATGTAAACTATTTTATCCAACCCAATATTAAGATACTTAAAACAATCATTATACTCAGTGGGTTGAGCATTATTCCAAGACTGAGAGTGCTGTTCTTAATTTTTGTCCTCTTGAGAACTGATTTGCCTCGTTGATCCCTCAGGAAGGAGATCTGCTGGATGTCAGGATTCCTGGATGTTGACCTGAGAGCCTAACATTAATGCTAACAATGTTGTTTATCTACTGATTCAAACACATGTAGATGCAAACATGCATGAATGCATGTATGCCTGTGCATAGGTGTAAACATGCACAGACACTAACAAAGCATTTATACAGGTCTGCACACATGTACACACACACAGTGATGCATGCATGTATATATGTCTTCCAGCACACGTGCGCGTGCACGTGCGCGCGTACACACACACACACACACACACACACATATACACATTCAACATACAACCTTGTTCTTGACTTCATTTTGTGTCTCTCCCCCATTTTCCCCTTCCCCCTTGTTATCTATTTTTCCTGTTTTTGTTGGATGGAATCTTCTTGTATTTCAAGGTTTTTATTGTCGTTTACTTGTTTTTGTTGGACAGGGTATCACTGAGTGTCTCAGGCTGACTTATTCATTATGTAGCCCAGGCTGGACTCAAACTTGTCAAGTTCCTCCTGCCTCCAACTCCTGCATGCTGGGATTTCAGGTGTGTTGGCCAGGACTGCTTGGGTATCTTTTTAAAGCCACTTCAAGGCTTTTGGGGGGAGGAAATAGACTATAGCTAAGGAAATAAAATAAAATACACGTAGACAAGAAGATGACGAGAAAATGTACCAAGTTGAGTTGGTTGATTTGAGGGAGAGTGGTGGTAACTGAGTAGATGCAATATTAACCAAAACAACCTCTGTTTTAGAAAAAAATCAGCTTTGAAGAAGGCAGATTCCCTTCATGTCCCATGCTGTCTGCTGGGAGGGACATTCCAGGCTTCAGAGCAGCCCTATGGGTTGAGTGGGAAAAACTGACCATATTACCAGGAGACCAGTGTTGACCCATCAGACCCAAAGATTCTGCATCTGTGAATTCAATTAATTCTGGGTTCAGCCAAGCCGCAAGTAAAAAATGCATAAAAATTTTATGGAAAGTTACAAAACATGCAATTGAAATTTGCCTCAATGCAAGCACTAATACCAGGTCCACACAGGCAGAGTGCTATGTGGGACTGTATCAGGTCCTGCAAGCAAGCAAGAAGTGATTGCATAGGTTATTCATTGAGCTTCTCCTGTATCTGAACACTCACTGTTCCTGTTCTGAGGAGTTTATGCTTTGTATCGTGTGTGTGTGTGTGTGTGTGTGTGTGTGTGTGTGTGTGTCTGAGTATATGTGTGAATATGTGTGTCTCTGAGTGAGTGTGAGTGTGTGGGGTATGTGTGTATGTATTGCTCAGAAGCTATTGCAGATGCCGCTAAGATGGTGGCAGTCTCATGAGCTTGATGGGGAGGTGCTGTCTGGTGAAGCACAGAGAGAGGATCTCAGTGTGGGGACACTGCCTGTGCAAGGAGCATGGGCAAGAGTGAGTCAAAGGAGTAAGAAACCCACAGGGTGGCCATGGGTGGTGACCACGTCGGGAACAGAGAGTATGATGGAGACTGGAGACATCTGCTAGGGTCAGATCTAATTGGGCTCTGGTGAGATGCTGGAGTCTGCCCTTCCTGGCGGATGTTCATGGGGACTGCAGCTTCGGATCAAGGTCTGTCTGCCTGCCTGGGAGCATAGGATGGAGGAGAGTGAGGGGTGAGGCAGGCTGTAGCCACAGACAGTCCAGAATGCTTGCTGCTAACTGATGCTTTCTTTTTTATTGGTGGGATCATAGGGTGAAAGTGGGAACACAATTAGGGAGAAAATTGGAACTGTCTCGACAGAGTTTCTAGGGTACTAGCATTTTGCCAAAGTCCTCATCAGTTGACACCATGCTCTAGGTTCTAGGTAGCTGCAGAGCCCTGACGTTATGTAGACTGGTTCCTTGAGCTGGTATCTGGGAAGTCCCCAGTGAACAAGTGCCAGGGGTGGGGGTGGGGGGTTCTCTCAAAAGACCTTAGAAGCATGTTTCAAAATACATTTATTTTAACTGCTATCTAGTAATGATATTAGCTTACAGGGTGCAATGTGACATTCAATACATGCATGTAATTTGTACTGATCATGCAGGGGTAACTGCTATATCTGGTGATCCTATCTCTGATATGTATGAAGCCAAGTCAAGCCTATCACAATGTAGGTATATCTGAAAGTTTTGATCCTGAGCATAAGAAATCTAATATTCTGTTTTGGAAAAATAGTTCATTGCTTTAGGAGTCCGGAGCCCTGAGCCTTTTCCTTATTGTTGCATGAATTTGATTGAATCTCGGACAACTATTTCAATTTGAATCTCAGTGCTTTGGTGTGTGTGTGTGTGTGTGTGTGTGTGTGTGTGTGTGTGTGTGTGTGTGCATGGGCGCACAAAAGATGAGTGATAATAGTTCCAGGAAACCTCATGTCATCAAGGAAGCCAGGCAGAACTCTCCAGGGAACCTATGAGAAATAATGGCATGTGCAAAGGCCCTGGGGTGAGAAGAAGCATCCCGATATAGCAACTGAAAGATAGCTTATTCAGCTGGAGATAGTGGGCAAGACAGAGATGGCTCAGGGTCCTGTTGTGGAGGCTAGCAGGCTCCTGCAGAGCTTGTTGGGGACTGAAAACTATATTTTCAGTTCACAAGGAAGGCACTGGAGGCTTTAAGTCAAGGAGTGTTGTTAAGGTTGATAGACATTCTGTCTGTGTGTGATCTTTCTAACAAAGTCTGTAGGTAATGCAATCCCCTTTAAAAGCAGCACCAAGACTTAGGGCAGCAGAGCCATATACCCAGGTGTACCTGCGGGCAACTGTTGGAGCCAGGGAACAAAGGAAGCAGCCTGAGTTCATGCTCTTTGTCCTAAATATCAGCTGCCCTTAGTAATAATATTACAGCAAGATCAGCTTCAAAATGTTTTAAACTCTTAAGATGAAAGATTGCCCTTAAATTACGGAGTGGAATTACACCGCAGAAACCTGAGTAGCCAGGAGGGGCGGGGGGGGGGGGAGCTGCTGGCTGGTTTGCAAAGGCCCATCGTACATGGCCCCACTCCAGCCTCTCTGAAGCCTGGCTGTCTACTGGGGTGTCTCATGGCACTAGTAACACAAAGAAGGGTTTGGCTCCTCTAGCCAGCCCTGTGACACTGTCATTGTCCATAAGGACTCCTTGTCCTCGGAATGTGCCCAGGGACTCAGGGACTCAGATTTGATAAATGGGATCTGAGTAGTTGATGCACGGTTTCACTTGTGTGCAGTTCCTCCCTGTTGGGCACTCAGCTGGCTTAAGTGCATTCCGAGACATTGTTGGAGAGACACTGTCTCCAGTGGGAACCCAGGAGGCTTGGTTCAGGGTTCAAGTGGGTAAATACCTGCTCATGAGTCTCCAATGATGACGACAAATGTCTCTTCCTTCCTAGTTGACCATGTTGTTCCTGAGCCCGGGACAAGCCTACTGGCCGCCTTTGATCAATGGAGGGAGTGGGCGGACAGCAAGTCCTGCTGTGACTATTCTCTGCATGTGGACATCACCGAGTGGCACAAGGGTATCCAGGAGGAGATGGAAGCTCTGGTGAAGGACCATGGTAGGTCTTGCGACTCCACTGCAGATGCTTTGTCCTAACTTGAAGCCTTCCTCCAGCAAGCAATGGGGGTTTTAGGCTACAGCTTATACTGATTACAGGGGCCCTAGTCCACTGTGGGGGCATGACCTTATATGAATAAGACAGTGTGGCTTCCCCTGGGGTGCATTCTTGTGTAACAGCATCCTACAGGCTTGAGGGATGTGGTTTCAAGGAGTAATTGGCCCTCTAAGGCCCAGTAAGGCAGTGGGTTTGTCTTTGGAGTTTGGGGGCAAACATACCACACAAACCTGCAAGAATGAGGCTAGTTGAGGAGGTGATGAGACTCTTCAAACCTGGGACAAGTTGAAGGGCCCTTTCTGCTTCAGAGAATCCCAGGGAAGGGACGAAGGGCTCTCAGGGAGGCCAGAGGAATCTTCATGTACTTTGAGGTGCTCCAGGACTCCTGTCCACAGGAGACTGGGGGCTCAGGTTGTGGAGTTGAATCACATGGGTTTCCTGGGCCCCCTTCAGCTTGGCTGTGGATTAGGTTCTAGGAGTCACTCTTTGATATCATGGGGTCTTGATTTGTGGGGAAGTACTACTAATTGTTTTGTTCTTAGCAGTTCAGAGTCAGAAACAGTATGCACTCTGAATGAAAAGGTAAAGCAAGTATCTAGGTGTAGAAGCTGATAGGAAAGCATCCACATATCTCATATAAACCTCAGGGATGGGAAGCCAGCTTGCCCACAGACCAGCTGTGTGATGTTAGCAATTCATGTAAACCTTGAATTTTAATAATTTGATAATCTGTTGTGCGAATATTGGACTGAGATAAGTTTCTTCCTAGCTTGGAGTTAACCACCCATTCCATCCCCAACCCCGCAGACTCTTTTTTTTTTTTTTCTTTTTTTTTTCTTTTTTGACACGCAAGGACCATTTTAATAGGAAAAAGCTCAAAGGTAGATAAGTTGCCTGGAGGAGGGAGGGAGAGAGAAAAGATCATGCTGTTTGGCATGAGGTCAGCCACATGGCAGCCACGTAGACACGAGGCAGGGAGGAGAGCTGGAGAGGCAGCAAAGCCCATGGTGTTAGAGAAGGCAGGCTTTGAAAAGAGATAGAAAGAAGTTACATTTCTCTGAGTAATTCAGAAAATCGGCAGACGTATGGAGCCTCATGGCTGTGGCCCTGAAGCCTACTACATGAGGGAGCTGAAATTCTAGGATGGAAAAGTCCATTACCTCTTTAAAGGATAATTATTCCTCCTTTTTTTTTTTTTTTTTTTTTTTTTTTTTTGGCATGACTTAAGGTCAACCTGCCTTCCTTCCCGAAGGGTGGTCCCTTTGCCAGGCGATTCCCTCTTAAGAGAGGACACAGTGATTCATCTCCATCCAGAAGTAGATCTCATTTTTTTTTTCCAGCTGGGAGACAACAGCTTTCCCTTAATGGCCATGTGATGTGTAAGGTGTTCCCTACCTCTGAGGAGGTAACCCTAAAATTTCGGAACCAGTGAGCCTCCAAACACACTTCTGGCATTTCTGGCTTCTAGCTATGGTTGTTCTCAGTTCTTAAGAATACCCAGATGCTGTTGGATTTTAACTTCCAATTCTTAGGGTCATTCTATCCCAAATCAGGCTAGGCCGGTTGCCTGGCAACTGTTGCCTGGTGTGGAGTGAAAAACTGGGATGCCCAGAGGCCTTCAGCACAGTCAGCTTCCAGCATCCCCAGGTGGCTTGAATTAAGCTCCAAGGCTCTGAGGTTGTCAAGACGATTGTTTAGGACTGTGATGGCTCTTGAACAGGGATATTTGGTCTGGTGCCTCAGGAAGGCAAGAACTCCAAGATGGACAGCTGCTTGCCAAACTAATGGGTTTTTTCTTATTAAAAATGTTTCTTAAAATCCAGTACTAGTTGCCAAAGAAAAGCCACTTTTCATAGTCAGAAGTTTGTAATTCATTTTCTTGTCACTGTCAGAATAAATACTTGTTTTAAGAAAGCTTTTTAAAAAATGATACATTTTTATATATACATATGTATATCAAAAGACTATTTTTTGAAAAAAAAAACTATTCATTTGTTTTATTATATGAGTATGAGTGTTTTGCTCGCATGTATGTCTGTGCACCTGTGTGGGTGCCTGGGGCCTGCAGAAGCCAGAAGAGGCCATTTGTTCCCCTGGGGCTGGAGTCATAGACAGTTATAAGCTGCCATGTGGTGCTGGGAACCAAACTTGGATCCTCTAGAAAAGCAGCCAGTGCTCTTAACCTTTGGGCTGTGTCTCCAGCTCAAGATGCACAGTTTGAATCACTTCTAAGGGTGCGCTGAGTAGACTCACTCAACTTTCACCTTGATTCTAATCCATCCAAATTGATGACCTGAATTTGATTCACAGTGCACACATGGTAGAAGGAGAGAACTGACTCCCCACAAGTTGTACTTTGACCTCCAAGTGCATGCTGTGACACAAGTACACACACACACACACACACACACACACACACACACACACACGCTTGCATGCGCAAATAATGCAATAAAAAGCTCCCCACACCGTCACCACTATCCACCTCTAGAATGCTTCATCTTGCTAATATGAAAATCTGTCTCTGTAATCCCCATCCCTTTCCTCTGGCCCAGGCAACTCCGTCCTGCCCTCTGTGGTACGGATTGCTCTGTGACCCTCCTACACGAGGGGTTTTGCCTCTTCATGTCACTGACTGCTCTGTCCCTCCTGCACGTGGGTTTTGCAGCGCCTATCTTTCGAAACTGGTATATTTCACTCAGTAGGACGGCTTCTGTGTTCATCCCCATTGTCACATGCAGCTAAATTTCCTTTGTAAGGCTGGATGGTGTTCCAGCTGACACAGAGACCTCATTTTGTGTCTGTTCACTCACTGACACTCACTGGGTGGTGGGGTGGGGTTCCACCTTCTGATTGTTGTGAGTCATGCTGCTGTGAGAGTGGATTCACACCGCAGGTTTTAATTTCGATGGATTTTTAAAGTTCCCAAACAGGAAAACCATAAGAACCCTAACAACAATATCCAGAAATCCTATTCCTAGCTCTTCTCATTTGCTTTGTCATTCTGTCTCTGTTGTCTGTCTGTCTTTGTCATGCTTTTTCCTCTTTAACTGTGTGACACTAGAGATGAAACGCTCCTGAGCTGTGTACCAGCCCTGTGTGGTTTTATTTTTTGAGGCAGGGTCTCTCTAAGCTCCCTATGCTGCCTTGAGCTCATGCAGGCATTGGAAACGTGATTCCCCATTTCAGCTTCCCTAGTACCTGGGATGACAGGCACGAGGCTGCTCTGTTCTCATGGTGTATCCATCTCTTATTCTCTTATCCATCTCTTATTCTCTTCTCTTGTCCCCTCGGTACCCCCTCCTCCTGCACAGATATGCACAGGCGCACACCCATAGATTGTCTGGTTTGGGCTTCTCTATTAAAACTCATGTATCTGCTTCCCTTCTTCATCTGTCCCTAGGGGTAAACTCCTTCCTCGTGTACATGGCTTTCAAAGATCGATTCCAGCTGACAGATTCCCAGGTAAGAAAGCCAGCCTTCCTGCGTAGACACCTGCATTGTTTAGTCTGCTCACCACTGCCATCTGGGGAAACATTCTTCTGTGAGTGTTACGGCTCCCTCATAGGTTAATGGGACATGGCTGACAGTTGGTTCTTGATGGAAGTGGCCTTTGATGGGGTCATGCTCCACCAGACTCTGGAATCCAACCTTGTAACCTCTACTTAGGATACGGTGTGTCCTGGAGTTAGTACTGACATGCGTCCTGGAGTTAGTCAGTACTGAGAGCCCCTCATCACACGTGTGCAGAGCTGTCATCCCCTGCTTCTCACACCTCTCTCCTGCCCTCTTGGTTGGGCTGCCTCTGCGAATGGCAGGGTGGCCAGGAGCAGTCCCCTTGAGCATATTGCTAAGCCTGGCCTACTAGAGCAACCTGGAAGCCATTTCTCCCCCACCAAGGGGATTTCCTTTGGCCCGGAGGATTCAGGTTCTGGTCTCTGAGATCACCCTCCTCTTCCTCAGATCTATGAAGTGCTGAGCGTGATCCGGGATATCGGTGCCATAGCTCAAGTCCACGCAGAGAATGGTGACATCATTGCAGAGGTATGGGACTCTTCCTCTCATATTTTCTTCATCTCGAGGAAAGCAAACCAAGAATATAGGACAGCTTTGGGAGCTGAACACCAGTGTGGGAATCCAGAGGACTGGTGTTCTGTTACTGGGGCTCTGTTAGTGATCTTTTGCTAGTGTTCTTAGGGCATGTGGCTGATTCCAATTCTAGAAAGGCCCTTTCCCTTGGCACTGCAATGCAGCTGTTCTGGATGGAGCCCAACCCCCGGCTCACACCTGGGCATCATCATGTACTGTGCTGTGGACCAGGAGGGCCTCTACTTTCAGCTTCCCCAGGGAAGGTTCTCTATCCTCCTAATGCTGAGACCCTTTAATACAGTTCCTCGGGTTGTGGTGATCTCCAACCATAAAATTATTTCATTGATACTTTGTAATCTTGCTACTGTTATGAATCATAATGTAAATATCTGATGTGCAGGATATCCAGTGACCCCCAAAGGGGTCCAGACCCACAGGTTGAGAATCATCACTCTAGTGGATTTGCCATGGGATTATTGCAGTGACCCCTTCTGTTTCTCAGCTCTGGAATGACACTGTATCTGACAGGGCTCACTATACTTCTTGTTCAGGAACTTTTTGCCCAGGTCTCTGCCCAGCCATCAGTCACCTGAGACCCACATCCTCTGACCACTTGGCTTCTTTTACACATTACAGGAACAGCAGAGGATCCTGGATCTGGGCATCACGGGCCCTGAGGGACATGTGCTGAGCCGACCAGAGGAGGTGAACATCTGGGAGGGGAATGTGTGACATGATGTCTCAGACTCTCTGTAGAGAGCACCAACCCCAACCCCACCCTCCCCCAGTACCTGTTGATAGTGGGGCTTTTTGGATGCACACTGGTCTTTCAAAGACACGTGTGTGCATGTGTGAGCATGTGCATACCCACCAACAATATCACCAGGCCCCCCAAATGTAGAATGGAGTCACAAAGCTCTTTTACATTTCTTAAACACACATGCGGCATCTTCATTCAGTGCAGCACACTCAGTAGTAGGGCCTAGTGAACAGAACCATTGACGACTGAGCAGGATTAGCCCGGGGTGAAAGCACAAAGTTACCACACTAGACCATGGGGCTTGTAATCCAGAGGCTGCATGCATCATGTTGTGGGAAATGGAGTCTTCACCACTAGAGTTTTCACCTTATAGTACTATACAGAGTGTCTTAGTTAGGGTTTTATTGCTGTGAGGAGACACCATGACCACGGCGACTCATAAGGAAAACATTTCGTTGTGGTAGCTCACTTACAGTTTCGGAGGTTCAGACCATTAGCATCATAGTAGAGAGCGTGGTGGCGGCGTGCAGGCAGATGTGGTGCTGGGGCTGAGTGTGCTACATCTTGCAGGCAATGGGAAGTGGACCAGAAGTCACACTGAGGGAAGCTTGAGCAACAGAGACCTCAGAGCCCGCCCCCACAGTGGCACGCTTCCTTCAACAAGGCTGCACCTCCAAATAGTGCCATTCCCTTTGGGTCCATTTTTCATTTTTTCAAACCACCACACAGAGTCTAGTCCTTCAGGAAGGGTAAAGGTCAGTCTAACAGCCATCTGACAAATCTCAGGGAGTTCTTCAAGGAACATTCTAGATTACTGTAAAGATGTGTTAGAGGTTAAGAGGAGACCCTCGGGGACCTGGCAGGATGGAGGCTCTATATTTAAGGTGTGCCTTCCAGAAACAGATCAGAGGGGGATGTTTGGTAAGTGGGGTCACCAGATCCCAGAGCTTGCCAGAACAAAGCACGGAAACAGGAAGGATGCCCATGTGTCTACCAGAAGGAGATAGCTATCAGGGAGCACCGTTCTGATTGAGCCTTTAAACAGAAAATGTAAACCTGTTTGTGTATAGCTCAGCATAGGGGTCTTCTCTTTGGCCATTGTCATACAGAACTGCAAAGTGCCAAGGGGCCAGTTATGGACATCCCCTGAGGGCCAGCAGGGCTGGGAGAATACCATGGTGGGACTAGGCTTTCCAGCTGGTTTGGAGGTGCCCAACTTATACCAGCCTCTGAGCTTGATGATGCCCTGAGTAATTTCACCCTGACAGTACTGTGAGTTGAGGCCAGATATAGGGCAATGGGAGGGAGGAAGGAAGGGAGGGAGGGAGGGGGTAGAGAGGGAGAGAGGGGCTGGCAGAATAGAGCTAGGACTCCAGGCCCTTCACTTTTACAGTCCCTTTGGGTGATGAGTGTTTAGCCTGCCAAGCTCAGTCTGTTGCAGGTTAAACTCTGGCGTAGCAACATAGCAACACAGAGACTCAAACATGGGACCATTCTGAGTGGCCTTTGCAGTATAGCCCCCTCAGGAAGAAGCCGACTTCTCAGGAAGAAGACAGTGACTTGACGTTCATGTGGTCTCTGTTGTGACTAGTGCCGTGATAGCCAGTTTGCATCTGAGCTTTGCAGAATGCCTTCCTGCTGCTGTGTGTTCTCTTTGCAGCCTGCCATGTAGGTAGCGCAGTAGGATCCCCCTGGTTTTTAGCTACGAAGATGGAAAAGGGGAGATTGGTAAGAATGTAGGACTCTAGGGATCGCCTGTCTGAGGTGGTACAGAGGGAGCAGCATGCATTCTGATCACAGCAGTGCCTGGTCCTCAGCAGTGAGCTGAGAGGGGCATTCCCTCTCTGAGAGGGAATGAGAGCTGGTGACAGAGAGGCAGACAGGAAGTATGTATGTAGGCTAGACTGTGACTGGCTCCCGGCAAGGGGCAGCTGTCAGAGCCTGGGGCCTGTGAAGATAGTGGATACTCAGATGTGTGCGGTGACGCCATCAGAGTGACCGTCCCAGCTGGGCCTCAGGATATGTGACTGAGTGGTGCAGGTTGCCGAGGTGGGAGGGGTTATCCAGAGAATGCCTGTCTGGACTCTGCTGTGGGTCCCTGGATAGGTCATTTCCCTGTGGTGTTCTGGCACAGACAACAGTATCTGCCGGCGGATCAGCGACTGGAGTGTTCTGAATGGACGATGGAGAGTGAGGTTTAAATACCCTCTTCTTCCAGAGAGCTAGCATTTTAGTTTGGCCTCTGTCCAGTTTCAGGCCACTTTGTGGGGCCAGATGGAGTCTAAATTCCATTCACAGTGTGCATGCAAATCCAGACAGACCCCTGGGACCAGGAGCTTTCTTCACTAGTTTTAGCGAAGCCAGTCCCATTTGGCCTCTTAATTAGAGCTATTGCACACCCCGCTTTACTGAGGGCAGGCCTGTAGCCCCAGTGATTATTTATAGTGTGTCTGTCCCTTTGTGAAGGGTCTGTGCTGGGACATCAATAGGGTTGTTTCTGGCATCCCTGTGAAGTGTTAAGCATCTTGGAGTCCCTTTCATTCACACTTCGGAGCTGTCAGCCCAGCAGGAGGCTCCAGGGAAGGGAAGGAGGCCAGGGAGCAAGAGGGAGGCTCCCTTCAGCCATCCCTGGAATGGGAAACATCTGAGTGTTTGGGGGAGTGTTTTTGAAGCTGCTGTTTTCCTGTGGATTTGTAGACTCTCTTCACATAGTTGATACACAGAAGCTGAGTGTGAGAGAGGCTTGGTCTCCCTCGCTGGAATGAGCACTTAGAACAGCAACAGACCCCAACCCTGCCATGCTCCCATGGAAACAGAACAAGTCAAGTCAACTCATTGAAGAGTGCAGCTCTCTCCTGTGAGAAGTGACAGCCTGGCTTTTAAAGTGGCATTAATAAGATGAAGCCATTTGTTTGTGCAGCGATGAGTTTTGAGCATCTAGTGGGTACCAGCTGTGCTTTGAGGATGTTAGGAATGGGGCATGGTGGGTAGAGAAAGAATAAGACCCCCTTCTCACTTGCCAGAGTTTACACCACAGTGTCGCCTTAGGATTTGGCAGTGGTCTTTTGGGATCTGCTTTGAGTAGGCTTCATCTTTTGTGGTGAACACACATTGTTGTACATAACATGGACCTCCACACAGGTGACTTTCCTGGTTGGGTGTTCACCAGCCATGAAGTGGGACTGGAAATCCCATTCTCCGAGGATCGGATATAAAGAGCCAGATGGTTGATTTGTGTGTGTATCATCTGTGCTGGGGGTAGTACCAGGCTGTGACTGACCAGCCACGCTGAGAGAACGTGCTGATGTTCTGGAGCCCCATGAAGCTTGTTTTTGTTTTTTTGTGGGTGAGGCTGGCTGGGCTCACACGTATCTGGCAGACTCAGCTCTAGAGTCACAAACATCTAATGTCCTCACTCAGGACTGTGAGAGCAGAATGAATAGACACATTGAGGTCAGCCTCAATGGGACTTTGAATGTATGGTGCTTCTCAAATGTGAGCAAGTGAAATGATTACCAGGGTTAGGGGCAACGCCTAGGTGCTAGCAGCCCTAACAAGCTTGGCTTGATTATCCATCCCTCACTAGGTGAATTAGAGAAATTAGCCATTTGCCAACAGCAGAGAAAGGTTCGGTGTAGTCACATTAGGAAGAGGAGCAGAGAGATACGCAAGCCAGTCTTCAGAGGCCTGACACAAAGTTTAGGTTTAAACAGCAGGCTTCTGGTCATGGTGGCACACTTGGTGGGCTATGGTGAAGAGGCGAGGAAGCAGGATCAGGAGTTCCTGGCCAGCCTGGAGATACAGGCTCAGCAGCTAAGAGTACACAAGAACTCGCATTGCTTTTACAAAGGACTTGAATTTGGGTCTCAACACCCATGCCAGGCAGCTTACAACTGCCTGTGCTTTGGGAAGATCCAAAGCCCCTGGCCTCCACTGGCACCGGACTCATGTGCGTAGACCCACACATAGCTGGACACATAGTTAAAATGAATAAAATCGTAACAGCTTTTAAATAGAAGGCAAGAAGTATGCATAGCCAGGCAGTCCTGTGCTTCCTGCCACCCATCCTTGTCTTGGCTGGGGCTGTCCTAAAAGGTTCTCTGTCAAGCCAGAACTGAATGAATTGTTCTTCCTTGAGACAAATCCTCTTCTGGCAGGCACCCAGCTTCAGGCGTTTCTTTCTCCGTCGTGAAATTCTCCTTAGGAAATTCTAATTTCTTAGGGGCCATTGTTTTAGTAGTTTGATAACTAAAGGGAGTGACACAAGTATCTCTTCAGAATATCTCGTTTTCTGCCAATGATCACACATGGTGGTTACAATCCACTTGGCTAGGTTCTGTTCCAGAGTTACTAGTGTGGGTCTAGGTGGGGCCTGAGAATCTATGTACTGGGTGCCACTTGGGAAAGAATCTTGGGGGACCCATCTGTCTCTGTTGGTGAATGAGGCTGAGATGGGCCTGAGGGTGGGCCGGGCTCTCATGCTTGTCTGCCCTCCCACAGGTTGAGGCTGAAGCTGTTAACCGCTCCATCACCATTGCCAATCAGACCAACTGCCCCCTGTATGTCACCAAAGTGATGAGCAAGAGCGCGGCTGATGTCATCGCCCAGGCACGGAAGAAGGGTGAGCTGTTGGGGCCTTCTGGACAAACTGTGGGCAGGTGGAAGGAAGGAGCCTGCTCACCGAGGAGCCTCTTTTTCCGACCCTCATGCCAACTGGGCCACTTTTATCACAATCCAGCATTAACCTAATTGCAGCCCAACAGAGCAGGGAGCTCTAGTTTCCTCCCTTTGTTCCATGTCCGTGGCCTTGTTTGTATCTATTTAAAGCCAAGGCCATGTGGGCAGGTAGCTCCCTCCCTATAAGTTGATTTTTCAGTGCGATTCTGTGTAAACAAATTAGTTACATAGGTTACGTCACTTTTCACTGGCTACAGAACCCCTCTGGGAAATGCTATTGTGCAAAGCCTGTCTTCCCTCCATCTTGGGTGGGGATTTCTATTGGGGGGACAGAAGGAGCCTTGTGTGGGACACCTGTTTATGCACCTCAAGTTACTCCCTGCCTGTATACTGTGGATGCCTTCTGCCTGAAGCTAGCTTTCCTGAGATGAATCCTGGGAACTAATTCACTAAGTGTAGCTTCCGGCACTTTCCCTCAGGGATGTCCCAGGAGCACCTTATATATTATGAATAAACAGCTCCATTATCACCTGCTGAGCTATATCAGTATGGCTAATCCCACTGTATGTTTTCTGTTTAGGAGTTAACTCAGAATACAGAGCTGGAAAGTAGAGCACCGGCTTTGATGGCAACCTTAGCCTGCTCTGAAGTGAACATTGCTAAGGGATTCCTATCTTCCTTACTGTCTCCACAACCTTCTTGTGTATCTTTCCAACTTGTATCTCCATTTATCTGCTTTCCCTCCTCTCTGGTGCTCTCCTCCTCTCTCTCTCTCTCTCTCTCTCTCTCTCTCTCTCTCTCTCTCTCTCTCTCTCTCTCTCTCTCTCTGGACAGCTGTTCCTACTTTGCTGTATGATCCGTGTGGACCAATAAGGGCTGTGAGATGTTTTCACTGGTGGGCGACTCGGTACAAGCTCCAGAAGAGATTGTGCATGGCTACTCAGTTAGCCTGTCCCCAAAATGGCTTCCAGACCAACCCTGTGATTTCTGGGGGCCAATTTGACCAGATGCTAGGCTATGAATTTTTTGAGAGCCTGCCCTCTCCTGGCTGTTTGAAGAAATTGCCTTTTATTTAGTAGCAGTAATAGTAGGTATCATTTTGGTATTTTCAGACATGGACTCATGTAGCCCAGGCTGGCCTGGCACTCACTGTGTAGCACTGGGTGACCAGAGCTTCTGATCCCACTGCCTCCACCTCCCGAGTGCTGGAATTAGGGTGTGTCCCGCTATTCCCTGTTGAAAAAAGCATCCAGAGTTTGGTCAGCATTGGCCTTGAATTATCTTTTCAGGAGACCCTGAAGGCGGTCCTTTATCACCCAGACACATTTGTAAGGTGGCTGGGTGTCCACCTTCAACACCACATACCCATCTTGTTGCTACTGCTTCCATGTATCATGGGTACAGTGTCTGAAAAGGGGGAACATGGTGGACAACTAATTTTGTATTTTACTGGTCATTTTGCACCTGTTGATGGTAAGGAATAAGATACGGCAAACATGTATTGTGGCCTTCCCGTCCGCGGTGTAAAACTTCATAGACTCACCTTGGCAGAGCAGAGCTGGGATCGATGACTGGGCATTTAACTTCAGGCTCCAAATCTCCACATTAATGATTCACCAACTTGGGGGTTGTTTTAGTACAGGCAATTCTTGTGGTCTGAATGGGTTGGGGCTTAGTTCAGGTCGAGACTGGAGCCTGACCCTGGGAAATAAAGAAATATTCTTGAACAACCAAGAAGGAAACAGTAGCAGGCTGTGATAGGATTCATTCCCTGGGATTAATAACACTGCTGAGGATCAGACCCTACTCTATGATGCTTCAGCCATGTGACTTGTCATCTCTAGGTCTGTTTCTTGATTGCAAAGGGACAGCCATGATAGTGGCTCTTCTCACAGAGGGTTGCTTGTGTTTAAAGGAGATAATGAAAGTATGGATGTGTCCACTAACCAGTCACCCTTGCCACTGAGGGATGAAATGATGGTTTAAGTTGGAATGTGTTCAACAAGAACAAGATGTTCTTGTGCTTTCCCTGGGTGATACTTCAGACCTCAGTGCCAGGACCAAAAGTGATCCTGACCCCAAGCATCTGCCCTCGGATGGAGGGTGAGGCAGGCGCAGAAAGTCATGAGGGGAGTGGCCAGTGCTGTTGTGACAGGCAGGATTACAGTACAGGGTAAAGAGCCTGTGAGGTTTATGGTATGGGAAGGACTCAGAACAGCAAATAATCTTAGTACACATTGACAGCCCTTTCTCTCCATGTGCCATAAACCTCCCTACCTGCAGACCCTCTGCTCCCATGTCCAAGGTGGGAGATGTTAGGGCAGATAGGGAAGTGAGGTAAATATGAGATGCCAGTGAGGGCTGTAGCTGCATGCAGCTAGACGCAGCACAATGGCAGCCTGCTTTTTCTGAGTGACCTGTGGTCACCATTATTCTGTGCCATGTATCAGGACACCCCTTTACCAGCCTTACTGTGCAGAGAGAGAAATAAAATACACCAGGATGGAATACATTATCCAGATCTTAACCTTTTCTTGTCTTTCTCACCTTCTAGTTTATTTTTATGTGTTCCTAGGATTCAAACCTAGGGCCTTGCACATGCTGGACAAGTGTTCTTTTTCTGAACTCTATCTTGGGACCTCATCTTATTTTGTATTTGGAGGCAAGGTCTCACTATGTTGCCCAGGGTGGCCATGAACTTGTAATCCTCCTGCCCCAGCCTCTCAAGTAGCTGGGGTTATAGCTGTACCATCAAATCTTGGCTTGGGTTTCATTGTTAACAAGAATTTAGACAGTGGTTGATTCAGTCAGCTCATGACACACAAGAGGAATTGAAATACAGAAACTGAACTTGCTGTTCCCAGTCTTCCAGCCAGTGGGAAGAACCAGCCACCTGCCGTCAGTTTGCCCTGAGTGTCCATGGTGGGACTTCTCCTTCAGGCTGCCTTTTGTTCACACGAGGAGCCCTGGGTGGCTGCAGATACCTTCCTGAGGGAGTGGCAACCTTTGGGCAGAACCTTCTAATGTCATACCATGAGCGTCCTTCTTACCCCCTCCTTACCCATCCTTAGAACCAAGGGACAGACACATTCAAATAGTCATGGCTGTTGAGGGACAAATAGTCCCTCGTGGCTGTTTTGCCCAGCACCAGTGTCGTTCTGTCTGTTAATTTTATAAAATGATCTATGGCATCAAATACAACATCCCAGCCTTGACTTGTAGAAGTGTTTGACTTCAGGGCCCCCGATGGTGTTTTGTGCATTTCACCATGCCATTGTGGCGTGGACTATATGTATTTTCTTTATTCTAAGAATAATCATTAGTGTCCCCGAATTACCTCAGATTAGAGAATCAATTCTAGGAACTTCAGGCTAATGAGATAACACTGTGTGCAACTCCCCACCCCATGTGCAACCCCCCCCCCCACTTGTTTGCTTTAGAACTGAACCATTCTTGCTATCAACATCTCATTGCGTAGCCGGAAGGCAGCTGGGGCTGCAGCCTGAGCACTCCAGGAGAGAGGCAGAGTGGTGTGGGTCTGTCTGTCTTTCCACTCAGTCTCATTTCCCTGGGCTTCTGTGGCTGAGCTTTAAGCTCCCTACATGTGATTCTCCGTTGTTCTTGCTCCGCTTCTCCCTCATGGGAGATGACGAACTGTCGGAGTCTGGAGCTGTCAAACACTCCCAGCCCCAGCTTGCAGCTATTCTTTGTGAATGTGCTCAGCCCTGGGCTGGTTGGGAATAAGCATCACCCGCCTGTCCCCTGCATCCCTGGCCTGACTAGTGCGCCTGCCAGAGCCTGGCTTGGGGGCTCACATCTTCTAGTTTAGACTTTCCCTGGAGAAGAGAATTGTGAAAGTACAACGACCGCCAAGAAAGCATCAGCAGCGTATTTAGAGCGGCATAAAAAAGGCCAATTAAGCTGTTCGTGGTTTATTATTATTAGTGGTAATGATTGCTGGCACACAGCAACTCACTGATGTCTGTGGTCTGACTGAGCTCTGGAAGCCAGTCCGTGGCTTCCTCCAGCACAGGGTTTATGGGGTACAGAGAGGAGCTGATGGCAAGGCTCTGGGCCACTGAAATGGGGCTGTGTGGGGTGGGTAGAGGCCAGTGTGTGAACCACACTGCCCTGAAGGCGGGGGGGGGGGTCTTGGATATGATGGGCCCTAGTCTAATTTGTGGAGCTAGAAGAGATAGAAATAAAGACTGCTAAGGACCTCTGACTCCCTCAGGAAGTTTGCCTGGAGCAAAGCAGGAGTTAGAGACATGGCTCATCAGTTAAAAATTCTTGCTTTTGTGGAAGACCAGACTGCTCAGTTCCCAGCACCCATCTAGCCTCTGCTGGCACACACACTCACATCTGCATATTCCTACATAGGCGCACACATACATATACATGAATAGAAAAAAAAAATTAAAAATTATGTGAACATTCTCCCCAGGTCTCTGCATGGCTCCATCTTGGGTTGGCCAGGAGTCCTCACTCTGTGATGGTCTAAGGAAGAAATTATGTGTCCCCAGTGACTTTGGAAGCTGAATCGTCCTGGGGTTTCTAGGGGCTGAAGGCTGAATTCACTGTCAGAAGGCTAGAATAGCAGAGGGCAGGGGACCCAGCCCCTTGCCAAGCAGTGACACTCCCACCCCAGCCTTGGATGAACATACCGATGTGTTATTAGTACCAGCCTCTCCCAGTCAGATTTCCGAAGCCCGGATGGAAGTGCAGACTCAGTAGCAGGGCAGAGGATGGCAAATTCCAGGGCATCCTGGGAATGTGGATTTCGCAGACAGCTGGGCTGTTTTTCTCCTTTGAGCACCATTGCTGTTCTGATTGTTATTATTTGTTTTATATTGACAAAACCTGCATGCCCTGAGGGCTGTGGGTCGTTTGTGTGGAGGTGGGTGGGTAGTGGACAGCAGGGCTGGCAGACCTGGCTAGATTGGGTTTAAATTTCATCAGATCTGTTGAAGTTCCCACCAGAGCCACTGCTGCCCCTGCTCAGCCACTGCATCTTTCAAGGGGCCTGAGGGACAGATAACAGCTGGCCTTGGCATTCTGGATCCTTCTCCATTTGGGGGCATGTGCCCAGTGTGCTTGTACAAGTTTCTGTTGGCAGAGCTTCCTATTGGTCAGGAATTCTGGGTTCCTCTCCTGGCTCTTTCTTCCAGAGGTCTCCTTCTGGGCATGCTTACCCTCAGTTCTAGAAGCCTCCCTCCCGCCTGGAGACTGTTACCGAGTGTGGATGGGAGACAGCCGTGCTTGTGGCCTCCCGATACCCTCTAACTGAACAGCCACTTCTTTGTGACATTCCTGAGGCAGGAGGGGGCAGCTCCCTGGAGCCAGTTTTGAGTGTCTGGGCAAAGAGGGTGTTGTGGAATATTATCCAGTGATAAGCCTCTGTGAGGACTGTGGAGGGGAAGGGAGACACATTCCTGACTGAGAAGGGTTTGGCATTGAGGGTCATGTGTTTGGGGGAAAGAAGCTGGGCTGGGTGATGAGAGGAGACGCAGGTGGACTTGGGTAACTTGAGAGCAAGTTCCAGCGTCCGGGCCTTGAATTAGTAAAACATCAGGTTGGCTCGACACACATTCATTAAGTACTTACTTTGTGCAGGTGGGAACATGATCATTAGGTGTGTTGAATACCTACTGTGTGCAGGCAGAAAAATGATCATGAGGTGTCACCAGAGTCCAACAGTTTGAAAGAAGGTGATTATTTGGGTGTAGGATGTAATGCTTAGGGATGTGGTGGTGCCTGAGCCATTAAAGGGGATGCTATAATCTTAGCTCTCCAGAGTCTAGACAGGAGGATCATCTTCTGCCACATACACAGTGGGTTCAAGGCCAGACTCAGCTAGGCCAAAACAATAAAAAATAAAATAAAAATTCATGAGGGACAAAGGTGAGGTTTGGGGAGAAGATTTTGTTGTTGTTGTTTGTTTGAACATGGAAGACATGATGTTAGAGGTTCTTAGAAGGATTGTGTGTTCTGTGAAGATGGAGTGTCTACACTCTCCATGGGCATCACAGTGTCGCAGAGCATGGATGGAGTTGTGGAAGCAAACACAAACCTAAAATCTGTGGGAATGGGCTAGGAAAAGGGATGAGGCTGCTAAGGGGAGAAGATGTTCAAAACACGCAAGGATGCACATTAGGCAGTGTAAGGGTCTCCACTTGTCTGGCCTCCCATGAAGGGACAGAGAAGACATCACTTAGACATCAAGAGAGCTGACATTCTTTCTTGGATATCATATGAAGTTAGGCCAGGCTTCTAGAGACTCTGAAACCCCAGGGGCCTAACTGTAGATCTCATTAAATCAGTTTTGGCTCTGATGGCTGATATTGATGGCTCCCCTCCTGTGACCACTTAGGCATCCTGGCATCTCTAGAAGATTCCGACACTATTTGCCCTCTGGTTCCTCAGCCTCATGGTTTCATTTGTGACTTCGGTTCTGTGGCTGGTACTAGACATGGTAAAGGGTGTGTGGAAAGGGGCTGCCGGGGTGAACAAGGAGGACAACTTCTGTGTTATAAAGGTTAAATCTACTCAGCATCCAAACAAGATTCTAGACGGTTCTGAGACCTGGGTGTTGGAAACCATCTGAGCTGGAGATCAGCAGTCTGTAACATGTATAGTGTTTAGGATTGCCTCAGGAGAGAGAGGGTTGAGTTCACAGAGCAGGGCATCTTAGTGTGCTAGCTGGGTGTCCTTGGCTGCCTTTGAAACGAGGCTGTATCCCCAGGAAGGGAGTGCATGTCGTAATGTCTGCTAAGAGCCGTGTCTTGTTCTTGGGGTGCCAGACTGAACCACTTGTTTCTGGTTCTCAGGGACTGTGGTGTATGGTGAGCCCATCACTGCCAGCTTGGGGACTGATGGCTCTCATTATTGGAGTAAGAACTGGGCCAAGGCGGCTGCTTTTGTCACGTCCCCTCCCTTGAGCCCGGACCCAACCACTCCAGACGTTCTCAACTCCTTGCTGTCCTGGTGAGTACTGGTGACTCATTCACCATCTGTACTGAGGAGATCTGTGCTCCAGATCTCCAGTAGGTGACAACATGGTGGTGGAGGACAGGCTTAAAAATAGACCTTTATTGACCAAAGTTGGGGTTAATAAGTGAGGACAAGGATTATTTTGTCACCATCTTGGGTGGAAATTCTGATAGGAACCTGGGTCATTCTGACAGCCAACTAAAGAGTCTGAAGGAGGTGTCGGAAGGATGCCAGCATGGTTGGTGGGACATCACTTATGATATATCTCACCAGGCAGGCTGAGGTACTTTCCACTGTAAGGTAGCCTCATGTCATGTGTTTGCTTCCCCCAGTGGAGATCTCCAGGTCACTGGCAGTGCCCACTGTACCTTCAACACTGCTCAGAAGGCTGTGGGGAAGGACAACTTCACCTTGATTCCTGAGGGCACCAACGGCACAGAGGAGCGAATGTCTGTCATCTGGGACAAAGCTGTGGTAAGGCCTGAGAGCTTCCCTCATGGCTGGCCCAGGCATGCCCTGTGGGTGTGGGGCTAATGTTGGCCAGTTGAGAACATTCTAGAAACTCAAACATTGTGAGATGGGTATTTCTCCAAGACAATTTCTAATAGCTCACTTCCTTTTAAATATTACACACAAGTCCTGCTTTAATGAGGAAATAGCTTCCTTGGTCCCTGGTGATCTTTTCAGTCAACAGTCTTCAACTCCGCTTTATTGGGAGTATTTTGAAGGACTTCCAGTATTTGTACCCACCACAGGCTTCTGTTTGATATGCTTTGGGGCAGATACTGATCTTGGGAGTTGGGAAGCCTTTTCACTTTAATGTTTTAAAATATAGTAACAGGTGTTCTGGTTTTCAGTGAATTATTTAGATTATGTGAGTAAAAACTATCTGTGTCAGAGGTTTGCTATAGCGAACATTTTGGAGGAATGTCTTCAGTTTTTGCCAGCACATGTGTGCATAGTATGTGTCAGTCTTCAGGTAACGATAGTATCACACTTACCACTCACAGCCCCGTTTGAAACGATTCTAAATGTATTATGAAACTTTCATCATTCTTAAACCCACACATGAAACTTATTTTTAATCTTCTTGTTTGTTTATTTCCCTGAGACAGGGTTTCACTGTGTGGCCTTGGTTGGCTTAAAACTAGAAATGTAGAACAGGCTGGCCTCCACCTCACAGAGATCCACCTTCCTTTGCCCCTCCAGTGCTGGGATGAAAGGCGTGGCTACCACACCCAGTAAAAAGCTTGATTGTTTTTTTAATAGTAAATGGTTCTCTTTTCTCCTAATACCAAATAGTCATTTTTATATAACTCTTTGACTAAAAATTTGTGTTGTTTCTTTTCTTTTTTTTTTTAAACTGAGATGAGTATCCATGTAGACATATCTTTGGTTTCATCTTTATGTTTGCTCGAGAAGTTTCTAGAAGTAACATTGCCAGGCCAAAAGGAGTCTTTTAAAGACTGTAAATACATATTGTTAAAATTTCTTCTGCAAAGATCATGACACACCTAATTTGGGTAAATTTTGTCTTTCTTACTTGATAGCCAATTTCATTGCTGGTTGGAATGAATTTTTTAAAATATGCTTCTTGGCCATTGAAAAAATTTTCTTCCTCTTAATGCACACTCATTTCCTTGCTCTCTTGTGTTTAGAGCAGGGTTGGAAGGGAAGGACTTCAGGAAATGATTGGCCTTTACTGTATGTCTCAGAAAGCAAGGCTGGCCTGAGACTCATTGACTAGAAACCCAGACCTCCACCTACCTTTGTTGAAAGGGAAATCCCATAGTGCATTGCCTATCAACATGTGTTCTTTTATTGCTGAACCTGTACCACCTTCAGCCTTCTAACCCCCTCCTTCCCTGTGTGTGTGTGTGTGTGTGTGTGTGTGTGTGTGTGTGTGTATGTGTGTTCTGTGCCCCACAGGTCACTGGGAAGATGGATGAGAACCAGTTTGTGGCTGTGACCAGCACCAACGCAGCCAAAGTCTTCAACCTTTACCCCCGGAAAGGTCGCATTGCAGTGGGATCTGACGCAGACTTGGTCATCTGGGACCCTGATAGTGTGAAGACCATCTCTGCCAAGACACACAACAGTGTAAGGCTTGCCCATCGTGGGTAGACATGTGTGCTGCAGGTATTGAGAGACAGGGTCAGTCCTGGGATTCTGGAAGGACCTCGGTTGGATAGGAGTGAAGCTTCCCTAGGAAACTGTAACTTCAGTCTTCTAAGGGCCAGACCAACACTCTCACTTTTTAAATTGAGGTTCATGAAACTGCAACTCTTGGCCATGTTTTAGAGGCAATGGCCTCTGTCCTTAGACCTTCGGAGTCCCTAGAATGACATTAGAGCCCCAGAAACTTCTAGAAGCCAGGTGCCATTCCATTGCCATGGTTTGGGCAGTGCCTCTTGTGGTGGGCTCACTGAAAGGGACATGGCTAGAGCAGTCAAATTTCCACTCCTGAGATGGCCACTGGGCACTTCCATTTTCCTGTCACCCTTCTCTCAGGCCAGAGTTCTGATTGAGAGCTATACTTCTTGTCCTAAAGGAAATTGCCATCTCCTTTCATAGAAGAAATAACCCAGGCATTGGGTCACAGTTTAAGAACTGCAGAATTTGGGGAAGTTCTTGGTCACAGAGCTTAGGGATGTGCCATTAGCATCTCAGCATTCGACTGAGAACCAGGGGTTCAGTGAGGTTTGAGTGTTCTGTGAGTTTGTGAATTCAGTGAGCAGAAAGCTGAGGTATAGCATTAAATACATAAAACACCAAGGGGATAAGGGAAGAACCTTGGATAGAGTGTTTTATTTTCTGTTTTTGGAGCAGGGTCTTATGATATACTAGGCTGACCTCAAACTCACTATGCTCCTGCCTTAGCCTCCCTATTGCTGAGATTACAGGTACATGCCACCAAGCAAAGTATTGCATGCCAGCACCTTGCTCAAATTTTATTTCCTTCTAATCTTGATATTTTATTTCATTTTCGACATATGAGCGAGAGACAATTATTAGAACACTGAGCTACAAAGTAGCATGGAAGTTACTTACTTAAATTTTAACATGCACTTTTTAAAAATAGCCAGCCACACAGAGTCCAGTTGGTGTTGCCCGTATGTACGCCCATTTAGAGCTGACTGCTTAGACTGGGGTAACCTATCAGGAAGCTCACCCTGACCTCTCATCCCTCGTTTAGCAGCCCCTGAATGCCTGTAGCGCTTCATCTACCTAGTAGTGGGGCTTTCTGAACCTTTCCCCAATCAGTTGGTCCATCCAGTAGAGTTGTGTGATCTTGGGCAGACAACCTTATTGTTGTGAGTTCCTGGCCACGATCTTTCTGCTAGGAAATACTGTTTCACAGGTCCTCCTCATCCTCTGACTCTTACACTCTGTCCTCTCTTCCACGCATTCCCTGAGTCTTGGGTGTGGAGCTTGTGTCATAGTGTTCCATTTGGAGCTGGGCATCAAAGTGAGTTCCTAAGGAGTAGAGTGGGTCTCTGAGTGAAGTTCTAAGTGACCAGCAGGCGCCACAGGGAGCACAGTTCCTCTCAGCGGGCCCGAAACTGCAATGACAATCGGCCCCAAGTGCCACAACCGCATAGGCAGGTCCAGGCATTTCCAGGATGGGCTTGGGCCTTCTGCCAGCCTAAGTCCTCTCTCAGGCAGAAGGGTTTGGGTGGGACATGTTGGGTTTAAGGCCAGCCTCTTTGTCTCCTGTGGGTAACGAGATGGTGGGTGCTTCATGGGGAGGCTGCTGGACTCCACGTTTATGGCTGGTCTTGCCTTGCTTGCTGGTTCAGCATAGTTTCAGTGCCAAGACTAAACTTGTATCATCCATCTTGGGATCCTCAGTGACGTCCTCAGGGTGGCCCTTTCTGGGCCTATGTGTATCATTTCGCATTCCCACCCTTTTCATTTGACCTTCTCACTAAAGGGTCTGTGTGATTATCCCAAGTGGGAAGATAAATAAGCCCGAGGTGCAGAGAGCTTCACGACTGGTCTAATGTTACATAGTGATCTTGCGGTCGAGCCAGAGTTAGAAGCCTTAATTTTTCGGCATTCTTCTCCCACCAGACTGCGTATGCATGTGTCGCATCCTAGCGGAGTGGGTGGAGAGAGTGCTATCCCTCTTTAGTGGAGTCCCCTCTCCAGAGGGGATAAAAGGGGCTGCCGAGGCTCTTCTAACAACACCGGCAGCGACTGCCCTGGGAGCTGCCGTTGGGACCTCTCTGCCTAGACAGAGAGCAGGAAGGAATGAAGGCTTGGGAAGACAGTTGCTGCTGACTGGCGTGTTTATCTAAACCTGTCCTGGGCAGTGTCCCTGCCCTGACTGATGTTTTAAGGAAATGGGGCCCTTCCACACACCTCATTGCCTGCTCCCGCTTCAGGGATGGGCCCTAAGCGTACCTGTGTGGTGTCGCTCATCTGGTGAGATACAGACAAGAGACACTGGGTCTAGTGTCAGTGTGGAAAGTCTAACTTATCCACAACTCTATTGCCTAGCCTTCCTTAGGATTTTCCAGGATTCCAACTTGCTCTGTAAGTTTTTGGAAATCATGTGCAGTTAAAAATGCCCACCCCTAGTGGGGGGGTTCAGCTTCCCATCTCTAAGAGCGATAGCTCTGCCATCCCATCCTTGAACGTGCCAGCTTTAAATCACTCAGAGCGGTGGTTCTCAACATGTGGGGCCCAACCCCTCTGTGGGGTCAAATGACCCTTAGACCATCGGAAAACACAGACATTTACATTGTGATTCATAACAGCGGTAAAATTACACTTATGAAGGAGCAATAAAAATTTTGTGGTTGGGGATCGCCACAACGGTCCTGTTTCCTTCCATGTTTTAAAGGGTGGGGATGGCTCCAAAAGCTTTCACATCAGCTCCTAGCCCCAGTGTGCATCTTCATGGCCTTAGGTACCAGGGACCTGAGCTTGTGGAGACAAAGTGCAGGACTCAGCAGCAGTGGATAGGAGACTGGGTGCTTTTGTGACACTAACCCTTTCATAGGTTAAGTATGTTGAGAGAAGTATCTAAGGTCGCTTCACTGATGAACGGCAGGTCTGGGCCGAAAGCGTCCATGGCCAAGGCTGTGTCGTCTGGAGGTGGATCATTAATTAGGAAGTGATGGGGAAAGGGAGACATCGCCTTGATCTTAGATGATACTCACACCCTTCCCAAGGTCATTTCAGATGAGACAGGGTTCTGTCATCATGGTCTACACACAAGGATTCCCTTTGCATCATTGTCACATACGCCTTGGAGAGTGGCAGGTGAGGAAACCTAAGTTCTAAGGCAGGGTTTAAGTGACATAGAACATTGTTACACAATGCCCGTCTTTTGCCATCTACAAGACAAAACCGATTGTGAGATGTATCTTTAGTTTCTGTACCATGATGGAAGAAAACATCCAAGATGAGGCCTCTAGTTGGGGACTGGCATGGCCTTCATATGTGATCCAGGAGATACGGGTCTGTCCTTGGGGAGGTGGTATGAAAAAACCCACCATGCTTCTGCTTTAACATTGAGGATGAGGGTAGGGAAGAAGGTCCCCAAGATCCTGAACTGGAAGCTGGCACTTGTGCAGACTTGGGGTTTAAATCCCCCTGTCTGTGTGGGTCAGCCAGCCTTGAGCTGAGAGTGCTGGGTGTAGCATTTCAGTGCTGGTGAACCCCAGGTACTTGGGTACCCCCTGAAGGATCTGGCCTCCCCTAGGCTAGCGTGCTTGCAGTCAACTCTGATTCCAAGGACAAGCATCCTGTTCAGGGGGCAGCTGTGAGATATGTCCCCCAGAGTCCTGGAATCCACGTGTAGAGCCTCTTCCCTGCAGCCATGCCTCTCCGCTTTTGTTTACACCAACACCACGTTTCTCTGTGGAATCTCCCTCTGCACAGTGCTGAGTGCAGTCCCAGGCGCTACCAAGCAGTGTGACTTTCCCCCATGCTGCTAAGCCACCTTGTACTCTCCAGCCACTGCAGAAGCAGAGGTGGCCTTTGCCCTGGGTGTTGATGTGGCTTTGCCCTCCCTCAGATCCTCTGGTGTTTTTCTCTTGGTCTGAGTCTTCCCAGAAGATCATCTGGCCTGCGCCACGCCACGCCACGTGTTAACCTCCAGCTGCAGCCATTTGTTCTCACAGTCATGAGGAAAGAGCTGTAGGCCTCCTGCCTGAGCTGAGCCAGAACTATGAGAACTGTGGACGCCATTCTGACTTATGGAACCTTCTGGGTCATCTCAGAGCCTTTTGTTTTCATTTGCTTAGACAAAGGCACAGGAAGCACCCCACTGTTTCCCAGGAGGGGGCGCCAAACTGTTTTCACTCACAGCAACTGAGCTCCCAAACACATCATTTAGGAAACTAAACCTCAATCCACCCCTCAAAGGCTTGCTGTCACCAACCTATATATGGTTGAGGACTGTGGTTTAGCCATAAGCTCCTTATAGACTGGAAATCTGGGCAAGCCTGTGGGAAAAGTGACTCATTTTGAAGTCCAGTTTGGACTTGTTTAGAGGCAAGCCTTGGATTCTGCCAGCACAGGGGAGAGCTGGTGGACACAATCTTCTAATGGGAGGAATTTTCCTGTCCTTCCCCTTCCATTTCTCTTTTCCCTTCTTTCTATTGAACTGGCACTGAACCCAGGGCCCCGTGCATTCCAAAGGTTTACCACTAAGCTTGTTCTATTATGGAGCTACATCTCCATCCTATTAGATCTCCCAGACTGACCTTGAACACACTCTGTGTAGCTCAGGCAGGACCCTGGCTTGTGTGTGAACTCAGTGCCCCAGAATCCTAAGTAGCTGGGTTTGTAGGTCTGCCCCATAAGACCCACCTGGAATAATATTCTTTATAATTTGTAAAGCGCTTACAAAAATGCACGCATACCCACTCGAGTGTGTGCATACTACCTATATTATTCATCTCTTCCTTTATTTTTCTCCCAGACTTGGAGGTATAGGTGAGATGATTCATATTCTAGACAGAAAGTGAGTGTCCCTTGGGTGGGGACAGGCTCCATCTCTGGGGTTTACCAGTGAGCTTCATTAGCCTGATTCAGTCCAGTTCCGGGATGGGGACAGAGATTGCTCTGATGGTGGCTGTTCTCCCCTACCCCAGGCTCTTGAGTACAACATCTTTGAAGGCATGGAGTGTCGTGGCTCCCCGCTGGTAGTCATCAGCCAGGGCAAGATTGTCTTGGAGGACGGTACGCTTCATGTCACTGAAGGCTCAGGACGCTACATCCCCCGGAAGCCCTTCCCTGACTTTGTGTACAAGCGCATCAAGGCAAGGAGCAGGGTGAGTGATTTCATTAACTTTTAACCATCATGGATTGAGTTTAACACCATAGACATTGATTAAGTGCCGTGCCAGAATACCGAGACGGGGGTGGGGGGGGTAGGGGGTGGGGAGTGGGGAGGGAGGCTTGACAGAAAGATAAAGACAACTTGACCTGCTGGTGGAGGAGTCAAGGATGATCAGAGCTTTGATGACAAGTGTCGGGTAAGGACCCAGAGGACAGTACCACTGCTGCAGAATCATGGAGGAAGATGTTATGGTAGAATCCATTTGGGTTTTGAAGTTTAAGTAGGAGTTTCTCAAGATGAAGGATGGAGACAGAGACACTATAAAGAAGGAATGTGATATGTGGGAATCATACAGTATGTTCAGGGCACAGTGAGCAGCACATAGATGGTGCTCGGAAACTGAGGCAGGGCAGGGGTGGAAGTTTAAGGGAATTAAAAAAGAGTGAGATTAAAAAGACAGTTGGATCTTGAAAATGATCTTGAAAATCAGACCCTCTTCAAGTTATGACCAGGGGCTTTTTTTTTTTTTTTTTTTTTTTTTTTTTGAGGGTTTAAATGATGTGACCTGCTAGGGGAAAATTGTAAGAGACCAGTAGAGTAACCCATTGTTAGCGACACACCTTGGGAGCGAGAGCTTTGGTCTAGAACGTCAGGGGCTGATTAGAAATCTGTCCCTATTATTCCTGTCCATAAGGCAGATCTAATCCCCAGACATCACTGGCCTGTCTCGACTGAGGTTCTGTCACACTGGGAGGGTTCAGGAAGATGTCCTCTGTGGATATGACACAGGTTTCGGGGTGGTTGTGTGTTTCAGCTGGCCGAGCTGAGAGGGGTCCCTCGTGGCCTGTATGATGGACCAGTGTGTGAGGTGTCTGTGACACCCAAGACGGTCACTCCAGCCTCATCAGCTAAGACGTCCCCTGCGAAGCAGCAGGCACCACCTGTTCGGAACCTGCACCAGTCTGGATTCAGCTTGTCTGGTATGGACAGGGCTGGGTGGTTCTGGGTCAGTTCAAGCTCTGTAGAGCCAGCCTGGGGCTTTAGGCTCCGCTACTGCAGAAGATGAAAGATAACGCTAGCCTCCTTCTTTCCCCACTGGGGGACACTCCAGTCACCAGACATGAATCTGTAAATGATGAACTGGATCTTGGAATCTTTAGATCAGTTTTTGGGCCACATGATGCTGAGACACCCACCCTATGAGTGACCCTTGTTAGACTGAAGGGATATTTTCCGATCTGTGCCTCAGTTCTCACCTGTGTGATGAGTCACAGCAGTGGCTCCCTGTGGGGTTGCTGTGACATCCACTGAGTTAACATTCATGTTAGTTGTCTAGGACAAAGCCACTGGACACGGGTGACCCATCCACAGGGGTAAAACCTTTGACTTCCTCTTGGTGACAGGAAAGTAACCTTTCTGTCTTGGAAATATCCTTCCCTCTTTCTTCTGGCCTACGATAGGGCCTTCCAGTCTCCCAGCTCCCTAAGCTTAGACAAGGTATTCAGAGTCCCGTGGCCTGTCAACAGCACAGTTCATTACATAGACTTCTTGTTCTTGTCATGTTTGCTGGGTTTTAAGAAATACCTTATAGGGGCTAGAGAAGTGGCTCAGAGGTCAAGAGCCCTGGCTGCTCTTCCAGAAGTTCGAGTTCAATTCCTAGCACCCACATGGTGGCTCACAACCATCTACAATGAGATTTAATGCTCTCTTCTGCTGTGCAGGAATGCATGTAGATAGAATACTCATATACATTTTTTAAAAGTACCTCATGTGCCCATAATAGATGCGGAATTGCCCACTTTCAGAACACTTCGAGGTGTTTTAGTTTGAGAGACAGGCTCTCAAACCTTAGTTTTGTCTGTAAAGTATGAGATCAGTCGCAATGTGTACCACTGTATTTTCCACATACACGCCAGTCCCTTTTGTGAAAGAAATGCTTGAGACTGAAAGATAACTTGAGTTTTTAAAATTGGAAAAACATCATGTAGATAATGAAATATTTTGTGACTACAACCTGATCCAAACACAAATGTGGGCAGGACAGATGGCTCAGCAGTTCAGCCGATCTTGTGGGGGACCCAAGTTTGTTCCTAGCAACCATGTCAGGGGGCTTGCAATCACTTGTCACTCCAGTTTCAGGAGACCCAGTGCCCTCTTCTGGCCTCCTCAGGCACTGCACTTATGTGCTGGAATCCTACCCCCTTCATTTATATTTTAAATAAAAACAAAATCTTAAAAAAACACAAAACAAAAAAACCAGTGCCATCTATGTTTCATACAGATGTGACATAAAGCCTTGGGGGGATTTCATACAGTATTTTTGATATGTCAAGTTTGACTACAGGCCAGGTGTGGAATTTTCCATTTGTCATATGTCAATGCTCAAGTAGTTTTAGAGTTTAGAGTGTTTTGGGTTTGAGAGCTTCAGATCCAGGATTCCTTACCCAGACCATCTATCTGCTCCTCTGGAATGAGAGGCCTGGGTCCTCAGAAGAGCCAAACTCATTCCAACCTTGAATCTAACTTTCCCAGGGAAAGATCACTTGCACCTCGAGCGACCTGTAGGCTGCAGGGAGGTCCACTGTACTTCAGGTAGTTTGAACCTTTAGTGAGGCTTAGGGTTGTGGGTGCTTGGCCCAGCTTCTCTTGGGAGTGTTCCTGAGCATACCGTATGATTTTATTTCCGAAGAGCCTCACCCATGTTTCATCTTTTCCCTAGGTGCTCAGATTGATGACAACATTCCCCGCCGCACCACTCAGCGCATTGTGGCGCCCCCTGGTGGCCGTGCCAACATCACCAGCCTGGGCTAAAGCCCCTAGGCCTGCAGGCCACATGGGGACAGGGGATGGGACACCCGAGGACATTCTGAGACTTCCTTCCTTCCATTTTTTTTTTTTTTTTAAAGAGCCTGTGATAGTTGCTGTGGGCAGCCAGTTCCTGGGGCTTCCTCTTGGGCCCCCACACTCGGTCTCCCCTTGGAGTTTCTGAATTCGCTCACCCAAGTCCCTACACAGTTATGAACACACCCAAGCCTAGCCACCCACCCCACACGGAGTTGCATCTAACACGCAGACATGCGCCACCAAGCAGATCCCAGCGAGGGTGGCTCCCATACCCTCAGCTGTAGTCAGCACCTTCCTGTCCTGGGGAAGATATAGTGAATTGCCCTGAGCTGCCTTCTTTTCTTTTTAAAAACGTTTTTAAAAAAGGGATTTTCTTTGTGGGGCTGGGGAGGGGTGGGGGGTAGGAGAGGGTTTTGTTTTGTTTTGTTTTTTAATACTAAATTGAAAGCCTGATTCAATATTAATCCACGGGTCTTGAACTGGACATCCTAATGATGCAATTATGTAACCATTAAGCTGATCCGAGGCTGGCAGGCTACTGCTGCCGCTGTGGAGAGGCCCCATTTGTCTTCATCGCCATCCCTTACTCTTCCGGGTCAGCTGTTGAGAAGAGGCAGGTTTTCTTTACTGGCCTAGATTTTTGCGACAGATTAGACCTTTTGAGGGTTCTCGTCACTATTTTCCTGCATCTTCTGTTTGTCCTGTCTTTTTCTCTCGTACTCATGGAGAGTGAGTTGGTGTTGGTTTCTTGCTTCATGTTTCCTCAACAGTGTTCTTTTCTCCTTACTGGCAGTCTGCTCTTAAGACCAGGCATCCCAATTTGGCCTCAGGCGTAGCCGGAGAAGACCCTGGTTTTGCACCCACCACCATACTTTTGTGATATCCTGGTTTCTGTTAAGATTGGTGCTATCCAATTCCCATCACTAGATGTCTGAGTTTGAGGCTTGCCAGACACAAGGATGGCCCGGATTATGTCACCAATATTATCACCTGTGGGCCCAGAATAGGCGTCACGTGTGCTGGAAAGACGAGGAAGAAGTAGGCTGTAGAAATGACAAAGTTTCTGGTCAAGTCAGTAAATGTAGTCCCCAAGCCTACATGAGCCCACCAAGCTGGGGCCAGTGCCCTATGGGGGGAATTCTACCGGCTTTTCACAGGGGATTCTAGAACACTGGGACTCTCTCTCTCTCCCTCCCTCCCTCTCTCTCTCTGTGTGTGGGGGGAACATTTCTTTTTTCTGTCCAGTTACTTCAGAAGGTCTAACATGATGTGGAAAGTCTTTATAAGAGTAGAAATCTTGGGGATAATTAGACTTACGCCTGCTTTACAAGAGGAGAAACCCTGTCTTAGGAAATAATATCTCATGGAAAGAACACTGTACAAATTGAATGCTTAGCCCTCTTAGAGACCATGTCACCTCATGTCTGTCCCCCTTCCTTTTCCTGTCATAGCAACAGGTTTTCACTAGCGGGCTTCTTTCCGTGTTTGCTGACTTCTGTCATATTTCTTTCCAAATGTGTTTACAGGTCTGTGTAAGCAGTGTTAGGTCCACAGGCCTTTACGACTCCAATCTGCTATGTAAAAAGCAGGGCCTCAGAAAACTGATACTTTTAGTGTCCACACATTTTGCCTTTGGGATTAATGGTTGGGGTTTTGGTTTGTTAATTTTTGTTATTTTAAAGGTAAATTGCACTTTTAAAAATTGGTTGACTTAATATATTTTCTTTTTTTTTCCTTACCTGCACTTAGAGAGGAAATTTGAACGAGTTGGAAAACACATTATTATTTTGTTTGTTTGTTTGTTTGGATTCTGAGAAACACTTGCAGCTCTTCAGTATTCACTCGTCTTCCTGCTGTCTCTTGTACAGGGCTGGGGCCCTCTTGTTTGTTTTAGGTCATTTTCTTAAAAACCAAACTGAACCGAACAGTTTCAAACCTGAAGATTCCTGCAGTCCGTGTAAGCATGTTTACCCGTCGGCTCGCTCGCTTTCTGTGTCTGTTAAATGAATGTCATGTAAATGCTAAAATAAGTCAACAGTGTCTCAGAACTGAATAACTGCAGTGACTTGATGCTCTAAATCAATGTAGGATTTACTGCTAGATGGTTTTTAACCCTTGAACTTGTGATTGTGACCCATGAGGGGGGGGACCTTTCAGTGCTAAAGCTGATCATGTGTGTAGCCAGAAAGGTACTTTTTTTTGTTTTTGTTTTTAATTTTTTTTTGTTTTATTTTTTTGTAACCACTGTCTTAATGGCAAAATAATTATGGTAAAATACAAGTCTCGTGTTTATTATTCCTTAAGAAGAAGTCTGTGTTATATTACCACTGAACACCCAATAAAGCAGAATGTGGTTGTTTCAGAAGCGTGTCTGTATGGAACTCGCCGCATTTGGCTTCCCGGCTGAAGTTACTCCTGGGGATGCCTGGTGGGGAGGATTAGATTCAGGCTGTGGACCAGCTCTGGAGTGCTTACCGGAAACCCCATCGCCACCCCGCCCCGCCCGCCTCCAGTGCCACAGGTTGCTATGGATTCCTGGTTGTCAGCCCAGGCAATGCCACACCTGGGGATGAGGGCCACGGGAGGCAGTGGAGCTGTCCTGGAGAGGCAGCGAGCCTCCAGGAGTGTCTTGCCAAATGTGAGCCTGGAATCCGAGTGGGATCACATGAGGTGAGATGGGTGCTCAGGGTAGGCGCTGGGCTTCATTCCAGTGTGTCCACCCTGGGAAATCGTCCGGTCACTTGGGTGCAGGAGAGAAGAGAAGAGAGCCTGGAGGGTCCTGACGCCTCAGTGGAGGCCCTGACAAAACGGAGAGTGAAGCCTAGGCTGCCACTCTCAACGCAGGGTGGAGGATGCTGGTAGGGGTGCGAGTCATGCAGGCTTCACAGTTCCCAGCTTCGGTGATACTGTCCGACTGGAGAAGGTGTGTGCTTTGGGCACCCTGTGCCTGTCATATAGTAGGGCTGCTTTGCCGCCCCCCGAACACCTTATATTACCATCATCTAAACTAGATATGAGGTAAAATTCAGAATTATACAAGCCCAGCCTGGTGGTTAGCAGGGGTAAATGTCAAGTACTTGGGAGGCTGAGGCAAGACTGGGTGAGGTAATGAGGTTCTCAAAGAAATCGTCAATGAAAAGAAAAATGATGTAATCATAAGCAAAGAGATGGGAAAGTAAGAGCAGGAAAAACAAGGTCCCAAATGACATAGAACAAGACACCTGCTTGGATCCTTTAAGCACTCACAGGGTCCTACTATGACCAGTCACAACATTGACCAGGGTTCAGGGTGAAAGAAATGTTGTCTTTCAAAGAGACGCTGGCTCCAGAGTGAAAGGCCTGATTCTTCCTGGAGCCACAGTGTGGAGTGTGTGGGGATGGCTGTGTGATCAAGTTAGTCAAACAAATGTGGGAAAGGGAAGCATGAAGCTTTTTTCAACAGGAGGGACCTGTGTGGTGATAATGAAGACCCCAGATCCATCCCATCATCCCCAAGACTCCACCCACACCGACAAGAGCCTGGGGATTCTAGTTCACAAGTCTACATGCCTCTCAACCCCTCAGGAGTCTGCTGTTTGCAGGACAGGCCCATGGAGGCCCCTTCAGGCAAGAGGAAGTGTGGATCTATTTGGACAGGAACTTAAAGTGATCCAGGTACCTGGCTTGAATACCAGGGTGTGGTTGGTATTGTCTCAACTGTCAGCCACTCCCCTTGCATGACAAGAGGTATGATGGAGGAGACAGAGTCTAAAGATGGACCAGGTAGCTTGTGGCAGGGTTTGTAACAGCCAGGTGTGTTACTTTTGGTATATTTTATTTTAGACCAGTGATTCTCAACCTCTGTATCGCCGGGACCCTTTTTTGTTTTATTTTTTGAAACAGGGTTTCTCTATATTGCTTTTGAGCCTGTCCTGGAACTAGCTCTGTAGACCGGGCTGGCCTCGAACTCAAAAGATCTGCCTGCCTTTGCCTCCTGAGGGCTGGGATCAAAGGGGTGCACCACCAACACCCATCTTATTGGGACCCTTTAATACAGTTCTTCATGTGCTGACAGCCAACCACAAAGTTATTTTATTGCTACATCATAACTAATTTTTCTACTGTTATGAATTGTAATGTAAATATCTGATATGCTATCTCCATGGAATCACAAACCATGGGTTGAGAATTACTGCTCTAGACACATGCATAAGAGCTCAAGGAGGCCAGGAGAAGGTATGAGGGACAAGCCAGGCAGTCTTCCCTGAGCACGTGCTTAAGCCTCTGCTCTGAGCAGAAGGCTCCATCCTCTGGCAGGTTCTGTAGCATCATGTGTCCTATTAGGGGAGGTAGAGCTGGCTCTGCTGCAATTGGCTGTGATGGGGACCAGCCCCTGTGATGCTCCTGAGCAGGAGTGTCTGTAGAAAATTTAGCTCTCTGTCTAGGACCTGAGAGTTGATTCACCTGCTCAGTCCTCAGCTTCCCCACCCTTCGGTGAGTGACAAGCCAGGAATGGAGTATGGATGGAGCAGAGAAGTACAAAGGGACACCAGGAAACTGACAGAAACAGTGTCCTCTGTGTCTTCTAAGATCTAAACACCAAGACTGATAGTCACCCAAGTCTTTCTTTGGTGACTGCAGAGACTACTGGAGATGTATATGAGATGGCCTCCATTGTTTCCAAGCAAATCTCTTGGTTAAAGTCTCACACTGACAAGCTAGCATTCATAACGGCACACTAGGCATTGTGCTATGAGCTTTCTGCCTATTAACAGAGCTAATGTTTGCAATAGGACATGAAGAAGGTGCCATTGTGCTGGTGAAGTGATAAGGAGACAGAGCCCAGACAGTCAAGGCAGTTTTTCAGAAGCAGCTTTGAGTCTTCAGCCTGGGCCAGTATGCATGGGTATACACATGAGCTGGACACCAGCTCATTAACAATCCAGTTAGACTGTGAACCCAGACAGAGGCAGAGAGGTGTAGTGTGTGCAGCATCCCTGGTTCTGCCAGCCACACCCAGCATGGCCCTCTCTGAGCCTCTCATTCCCCTTCTGTTAAAGTGAGTGTGATGTGAGGCTTGTCACCAGGGCTGGCTGTGGGATTATCAGGGTGACACATGAAACATCCTCCAAGGTGATCCTGTCACTCTGGAAACAGTCAGCAAACCTTCTCTGTTCCCACGTCTTCAAGGGAGAATTTAATATTACAAAAAGGCCCAAGGAGGCCAGAAGCAGGTATTGGATCCCCTGGAACTGTAGTTAAGGATGATTGTGAGCCACCATGCAGGAGGATCTGGGAACTGAACCTGGGTCCTCTGCAAGAGCAGTGAGCACTCTTAATCACTGAGCCATCTCTCTACCCCTCAAATATATTTGTTTTTTTTTTTTTTTTTTTTGAGACATGGTTTCCTTAGGTATCTCAGCCTGGCCTTGAATCCATGGTTCTTCTGCCTCACTTTCCTGAATGTTGAAATTACAGGCACATGTCACTCCACCCAACCCAGAAAATATGTGAACAAAATAAAAATGAAAAGGCAAACTGGATTTCCTAGACATAGAGCCGTTATAAATGAGTTATTAAATAAAGTGGAAAATGGGAAGGAAATAAGACTCTAGAAGAGTCTAGAAGAGATCCATGAGAGAGGCAGGTACACATTTCTGACTCTGGCTAGCTGGCTGACAACCACTTGAGGGAAGGGCTGAATTACTTAATGCATAGGGCAATCGACTGGTGAATCTTCCAACTGTCATCATCCATGATCTGCACACTGGAAATTCAGAAATGTAGACTTTAGTCAAGGGGCCACATACAAAAGTCCAGGGGAATGGAGGCCTAGGAGATGATGTGAGTTATTAGGAAACTACTAGTTTGAAGGCACTCCATTCTATAGAGAAGTTTTGGAGAAAGGTTGTTGAAGTGGTAAAAAAAAGGACTAATGTGTGTATATATAGTCACATGCAATTTTTACAAGGACCTCAGGCTGTAAGTAAAGTAGCGTCTATGAGAATCCTTTGCAAAAACCATCATTTGGAAAGGCAAAGTGACCTAGATACTAGGTGCATCATTACTTGATTGAGCTCTAGCACCAGCAGAGGCCCGATGGCCACAGTGGTGACACACAAGGGAGCCCTGAGCAGCAAGGATTCTGCTGATACTGGAAGACTCAAGGCTACACTTATCCTGAGGGCTCGTGAGAGGAACACATGAAGGGCTTATAAAGGCTTAATGATTAGACAATACGTGACAGAGTCACGTGATGAGCATTGACAACTAAGCCTCATTGGTGTAAAGGTTACAAAAATGGCTTTGTCCTAACAAACACATCGTTCCAGGCCGGACCACAGCCATCTTGGCTTGTTCAATAGAAAGAGATGGACAGAGAAGACATCTATATATTCCTCCAGTCATGATCTTGTCTGAGGATTTTATTGTTCTTATTCCCAGATTTTTTTATATATATGATTATGCTCTGAATGCACTCAAAATCTTACCTTTTACACTTTTTCTAAGCATGTGCCCAGATAATCCCCCCCCCCCCATCTGTCTGTCTCGATGTCTGCAGAAGCCAGAGGTCACCCTCAGGTATTATCCTTCAGGAAGCAATCTACATTTTTCCTTCCCCTTAGAGACAGGTCTCCCATTGGCTTGGAGCTGCTGATTGGGTTGTTTGCTGGTTGACCAGCAAGCCCCAAGGATCCTCCTGTCTCTCTGTCACCTCAGCACCAAAATCACAAGGCTTTTTACATGGGTTCTGGACACTGAACTCAAGCCCTCATGCCTACAACAAGCATTTAGTGACGGAGCCATGTCCCAAGCTTTCCCATTCTGATAGTCATCTTGCTTGGGTCTCCCTGTCACTCCAAAGATGCCTTATTCACACATCTGCAGCTTCTCTGTGATGTTGTGCTCCCTCTGCCGGGACGAGATGCATCCTTCCTCTCATCTAAGCAGTAATGAGAAAGCTGGCAACACAGTCCTACAAGGCTGCCTCAGTGGGAACAGGAAGAGGAGGTCAAGCCTTCCACCCAGCATAGCGCTCCTGCTCTGTAAGGAGTACGGTTTTTCCGCCCGCCGTCTTGTCCCGCCGCCGCACCAGCCCCAAATAATACACAGAGACTCTGTATTAGATATTATACTGTTGGCCAGTTACTACTTTCTTATCGGCTAGCTCTGTCTTAAGTATTAACCCATTTGTGTTAATCTATGTATTTCCATGTGGTCTTCTTACCGGGAGCCGGCTGCCGGGTACTGCTCTCTCCAGACTCTCCATCCTGACTCCTCCTTCCTACTTCCTCTTCCTCCTTGTCTCCTAGTCCCTCCTATCTTCCTTTCCTATTGGCCAACAGTGCTTTATTTATTAACCAGTATGAGAAACATATACAGAAT